TGAAGCCGAACCAGACCGGCTGTGTGCTGGATGATCAGTGTCGACGAGCCTGCGAGAGTACCGTATGTGAGAAGACCAGCCAAGGCTCGAGATGTATGTGTGAAAAAGGACGTCATTTCCTATTCAACAAATGCTGTCAGTTTCTAAATGTTTTTTTGTTTGTTCCTATAACTCGATTTTATTGAACTGCAAAAATCCTCCTGTTTTGCATATTTCAGGGAAAAAATGCCCTGAGTTTGCATTTCCGGAACCGGTCGTTGATGAGCTTGGATTCAGCAGGTAAAATCGGAACAATTAATCTGGGCACATTATCCATGACCAGGGAAGCGGAACCTGGCAACGATCCTGTTTCACACACTTTTCATTTGTCACCATTAAAGGCACTGACACTGGTTGTGTAGAGATGCCCAGATGAATTCTTTCCTCAAATAAGGTAGCCGAGTTCCTAAGTAAAGGGATACCTGGTAGAACGGACGATAGGTAATACCTCCTCTTCACCGCTGCAACCGCTGCCATTCTAGTCGTTTGCAGCACACGTTCTGTCTATGGTTTTATTTGCTTTCTTCCCTGTTTTCTTCTACGCACCCCTTGTTTCATTCTCGAGTCAACTGAGCACAAGTTTTGGTTGGGAAGCGTTAAAGGTGATGTCCCGCTATCCTCGAGGGTGAATCTCTCGAAAGTACCGTGCTTGGAGGAACTAACCTCGCCCGTATTGCTCACAATGCGCACGCCGTTGTCACGAGTGGTTCTACAGAATCACTTTTTGCGTAACATTTAAGGGCGGAGTTGGTTTGGTGGTAAGGCTGCTGTTCCCACGCGCACGTGCCGGCGACCAAACCGCGGACAGATCTCGTTAAGCTCAACCAAGCCTTTCATCTCTCCAAGACGGGTAAAGTGGTACCAACCCGACTGGAGGATGGCAATAATAACTTGCACGTCGGCTTGCCCAGCAAGTCAATATATAGAACGAACCACATCAAAACACTACTCACTGCGACTCCGAGGGCAAGCAGGATGCTTGGCGCGTCCTAAGAAGGAGCTATTGATGATCGGTGTTCCTTGATTCTTACCTTTGTTCGGGAGCTATTAAAACAGTTGCAAGAGACGGCTAACCAGGGCCCGTGCCTTTACCTCCTTCGTAAGTTGAGCTCTGGACTCATTTGAGCCCGACTTATCGCTGCAGAGATTGCTTGAGAAGGCAAAACCACTGACTTCATTGTTAACCGTCCCACATTGTTCACTACCTTTCACTCACGTCTGCAATTTCACGTGCAGTTCACATGCATGGCGCGTCTCACACTTATCTTCACTGAGCTCCTAACCTTCCAATGTCGATCCTGCTCTTACCGTTCTTTGCTATTTGCTGTTTCTACAGGAACTACGGTAACAACGAGTAATTTATTGAATATTATTGAGGTGCACGCTGAAAACGGATTTGAAGACGGCCGCAAGTTTCATGCGCCGTTTCCGACGAGCAATGAAAAGTCACTTCTGCTGAAAATCTTACCCGAGGAATTCGTTGACGAAGATTCTGTAAAGGAACTCATTTTCTTGTTATATTGATACTTTGTTTGTTTATGAAAAGTTTTCGGTATTGTAATGATTTTCAAAATAAAAGTGATCTTTATTTATTTCAATGACCGCTTTACACAACAAAAAGTATGATATAGAATAGATAACATTTCATTACATCTTCACTTTAAGATAAGGCACATTGTCACTAATCAATAATCGATTTAATCGCTGAGTTGGATATGTAAAGGAATGTGTGCGAAGTAATTGATCAAACGAATGAACGTGGCAACAGCTTGAATGCTCGTTATTTACAGGAGGGAATTTTAGGCTTCTGAAAGTAGCTCGAAGGCCTAACTGATGGTACAAGGATACCCGACAGGAGGCCCGTCGCGACATGTTGTGGTGAGTGGCGTCGTATACAGTAGCGTTTGTGATGTCGCTTTCTTGCGTCAATTCTGTTTTTCCTCCGCGCGAGCGGCCTTTCCTGTCGGGACCGTTTGTAAATTCGCTTCATTTCAGCTATTATGACCATACGTTATTTGTGAGCTTCGCACCTTTAGTACTTTCTGGAAGTCCAATTATGTGGAAAGGTTTTGAAGGGTTATAGCATAATAAAGCAGGTTTCCTAGTAAGAAAGGGGCCATAACTAAAACCATAGCTCATGGTTCAGCGCATTGCGAACCGCGCGCGGCAGAATCGCGTGCGGAGCGCACATTTTTACCACTTCGTCACATGATCATGATCACGATACATGATCCAAACTGCAATCTTTTACTTTTTGGCAGGTAGTTGTGATCAAATGACGATGTCGGGGACGGTTGGGAAAAGGGTGCGCTTTGGGGAGCTCGGCGGTGAGAGAAGTTTTAGTGCGGAAATATTCTTTGGAGGGACAAATTGTTACGGGGAGGAGTCGGGCGTGCGACGTATTTGGCCGATTTCTTGATTTTAACTGCCCGCGGCGTTTACCGGGGATCAACTCTGCCGCAGGTGTGCGACACACGCACTGAAACTATTCTCTTTGAAGCGGCCCTGAGCCCATGGTGAGTGGTGCAATGGCTAGCGGCGGAGCCTGCCACGGTTCGGCGGCCGAAGGCCAGATCGAGCCTTGCGCAGACCAATCAGACCTTTCATCCATACCGGGTCACCAATTCGTTACCAGATTCGTTTCGGAGGAAAAAACTGGAATAATTATCTGCTGACCTTTGCAAGCCAATGTAGAGGCCAAATTCGCACTCAGATACCACTACGATTCGGAGAAAACGTTGAAAGCGTAGCGCCGCTTGAAAATGGCTTGATCAACGCTGAATGCTTCAGGCAGCGTTTAGAGTTGGCGATCGTACATGCGATTAGGCGATCAGGGGAAGAAAGAGAGAGAAGAAAAGAAAGTATACGTATCGTTCAAGCGAGTAGACGAGAAAGCGATAACGCCTACTCTCCTATTCACCTGATCAATAGGTATCCTTCTCTTTGTAGGCTAGTTGCCTAGCCGCCTAATCGCGGCACGGTCGGCGACTCTGAACGCTGTCTTATCCCTTGAGTGTTTTTACCACTCATTATAGTAGCCCTCATGGATGGATCTGGACGGCTTTAGCGGCCTTGAAATGGGCCTCTGCTCATAATGAATAACGCTTCTTTTTCTGTTGTTCCCTAAGAAGAGATCCGTACGGGTACTGTACATGAATTGGTGGTCAGAAGACACTGAGCAGCTTGAATCACGCAAGACGAATCGAAATCCCATTTCCGGACGAGTTCAGTATGATGAGACGTTCAGATAGAATACCCAGTAGATCACGTGAAACAGCAGAAAGAACGTTGGAAAGGCGACACGTGAGATTAGGTCCACCTGAAATGAAAAGAAAGCTCCATTGGAAAAGGAAAAGTTGGGTTTTCTGAATCGTAGAAGAAATTAGGGCATGTGACAACGGAAAATCGTTTAGCAGATTTTGAAATGAGATTTGAGATCCAGGCGCTATCGCAATATAAGGGGGCACCCTCTAGGACTAAGCCTAGGACGGAGTACGGATTCCGAGGAGAATTTGAATGGCTTACGCACCCTGGAGCTTCTCCGCCGACTTGGTCCCATTTTTGTCAAAAAGGGCATGTTTTGTTTTGGTCACCGCAATGCTCCACTATCTTGTGATAGCGCCGAGATCAGTTTACTCCATTTTTCAGATCTTCGCCTACTTTTATAGAAGCAAAATATTAGTTGGATGGGTGGCTTCTATACGATATCTCCTTCTGTTTTCTGAGCAACTTGGACTTTCGACTGGGTGCTTGAAAACTCTGTGAGCGCTCAGAGGCCCTACCTGGGAAGGCCGGACTTTCGTCCAGGCGGGTGGCTTCGGCTTGAACGGAATTGGCGGCATCGGCACCATCGTTAGTAACGGAATCCGTTGATCCATTTGAGCTTCAACTTCGATCTGAAAGCGTAGCACCTTTAAAATGATTATTTTTATAAAAGAATGAATAAACCCCTCCTGTGCGCAGTGCATTCTACACAGCTGTGCAAAACTTAAGGACGAGACAGATGAAGTATCATAACCTTTGATAGCTTTGTGGACCGTTTAACGGTTCCTGTTAACTGCTTTCTTTAGTGCCCTGTGGCAGCTCTTTGTATGTGTGGTTAGGTTCCATAGAGTCATGTTACGCGCCAGTAACGTCGTTGGAAAAGCTAGTTCGTCCGTTCGTTTGCACACCAACGTACAACCAGTTACGAATTTGGCTATGCCATTGGAAGGTCATTTAAAGCCACAAGTCAGGATTAGGTGACCATAGAAGGCCTTTCCATCACTAATATTTCCAGGAATGCGCTCAGAGGGGTGATGCCACACTCCTGACTCGAGATTGCGCGCCGTCAAGGCCTCTGGCCTACTACTTACAGCGATGGGTTCGTTTCATCAGCTGGTCCCGCCCACCGCGGGATGTGGTGCGTGGCTGGCCTAACGTGTGAGATCAGCTAGGTTGATTGCCGTATCAACCGATGGAATGGCTGGCATATCCGGAAAACTCGCTTGGCTCTCCCCCGAGCAAGCCTCCTTCACTGCTAGAAGGGAAGGGTTTCGATTTCGGTCTTGTCGACGGTTTCTTTGCGTTTTTTCTTCACTGTCGTTCCACCTCCCATCTCTACACTCAATTTCAGGCGCCATAATGCCCAAACACGAGCCTGACCTTTTGCCTACAGGCAGAGGTGATGGGCAAAATTCAATTGTGAGATCCTTCCAAACTCTTCCGTCTAATAGAAAAAATACCGGAACCGTTGGTCCCGTTTCATACCCCCTACCTTCGTCTAATAGTCAGCTGCCCAGCGCTCAACGCAAGGCGCCAAGCTCCGAGCGTCAGCGTCCTCGGACCAAATTAACTCGCCCGCGGGTCTGACCAGATAAACGACGAGCGGCGAAAAAGGTCAGAAACCTACGATCCCCTACAGGGCTCCGACAATCTCTCGCACCAACAATTCCGTGAGCAGAAGAATCCGTGAATCACCACAGAGTCTCTACCAATCATGGCAACCCTGGAGCGACTTCCATGAAATTTAACCCATAACAATGCCGTATCATTTGATTTGATACGGGCGGTGTGGCCCACAAAGAAAACTAGGATGCGCGCGCAAGCCACCTCACGTCAAAGCCCGCCCCACCGCCTGCAAGTCACCGCCCTTGAACCCGAGTAACTGCGAGAGACGGCCACTTACCCTCTATGACGATACCACATAAACCAGAAATCAACCCAATTAACCAAGGTCCATAGGTACGCACGAATCCGCTTGGA